TGGAGGCTAAATTCTGTGAAGGACAATGAAAAGAACTGAGTATGTCTAACCCAGGGAAGAAAAGGCTGTGGGGACCCATGATCACAGTCTATCAATAATTGAAGGACTGTCACAGGGAAAGGGATGGATTTGTTCTGCATAGTACTTGAGAGAAGGGCAAGAGGAAAAGACAAGTGGAAGCACAGGTATAGTATAGGTTGTTGTTATACCTGGCTCAGTAGCCTGTTTCCCCGAAAATAAGACATCCCCTGATAATAAGCCCAATCGGGCTTTTGAGCGCATGCACTAAAACAAGCCTCCCCCTGAAAATAAGCCCTCCCTGAAAATATTTAAACGCAGAGCTGGAAATCAGGTAAGACGGCAAGAGGAACTCCATCTTGCTCCACGCGCCCCAAAATAATAAGACCTCCCCGAAAATAAGGCTAAAAAAAATATAAGACAGGGTCTTATTTTTGGGGAAACACGGTAGTAGCAATTGTGAGGGGGATCTTGGAGTCTTAGCGGACAATCGCTTAAATATGAGCCAGCAGTGTGCTGCAGCTACCGAAAAGGCCAACATAATCCTAGGCTGCATTAACAGTAGGATAGAATCAAGATCACATGAAGTGTTGGTGCCTCTATATAATGCCTTGGTAAGACCCCACTTGGAATACTGCATCCAGTTTTGATCACCACAATATAAAAAAAGATGTTGAGACTCTAGAAAGAGTGCAGAGAAGAGCAACAAAGATGATTAGGGGACTGGATGCTAAAACATATAAAGAACAGTGACTGGAACTGGGTATGTCTAGTTTAGTGAAAATAAGGACTAGGGGTGACATGATAGCAGTGTTCCAGTATCTCAGAGGCTGCCACAAAGAAGAGGGGGTCAACCTATTCTCCAAATCACCTGAAAGCAAGACAAGAATCAATGGATGGAAACTAATCAAGGAGAGAAGCAACCTAGAACTAAGAAGAAATTTCCTGAGAGTGATAACAATTAATCAGTGGACTAACTTGCCTCCAGAAGTTGTGAATGCTTCAACACTGGACATTTTTAAGAAGAGACTGGACAACCATTTGTCTGAAATGGTATAGGGTTTTCTGCCTGAGCAGGGAGTTGGACAAAAGGACCTCCAATGTCCTTTCAATTCTGTTACTGAGAGAGATCCATACTCAAAATAAAAAGGGGGAGTGGAATAGCCTATCTCCTGCAGATGTGGATATCTGCACACACCTATCACTGGTTTCAAACAAAGGTGGGATAATCATTGTAATATAATGGCTAGAGGCGTTCGACTAGAAGTTTTCCAAAGTCCCCATAACTCTTTGATTCAACAGATATAAGAAGAGCTCAATACAGTAGATTAGACCAAACTCCAAATAAAAACAGATCAAAGACCGATCAGCTGGTTTCTTCTTGGAAATCCACACTTAAAGCAGTACGATAATATCAATTCTTTACTACAGAGGTCAGCAGTTTCTCAAGTGTGTACACCACAAAATAAAACCAGCATTTTTGTTTGAAAAAGGCCCAAACCTTAGATTGTTTAGCAGATAGTCTCAAATGAATAACTCTATAAGGAAACCAATATTTCATCAGATGCCAGCTGTTTTTTAAAATTGTTCAACATTTATTTTAGGGGTTGAATAAACCAGATATGTGTATTGTGAAAATTTTTACACCTGATAGCCTTCCTTATACTTGTGCTGCAACTAATGCTTGTATATATACTGTATCCTGCATCCTTTAACTGGAAGTTGTGACTAAACATTTTGTTACGTTTTGTTTTGAGGCTATCTTTATATTTTCATCAGTTGTCAGCCAAATTCCCAAGAATTCCACGAACAAGGCATGAAGTCAATCTCATTCAAACTGCTAATATTTGTATTTATAGGAGAACTCCCTTTAAAACCAGAGTAGTTAACACAATGGCATTTAAAAATCCACCCCTTCGTTCCTTATTATGTACAGCAATTCAAATACTGACTGCTATTTGCACTACTTAAATAACAGCTCCAGGTTTGGAAATTTAGGCTGGTGAAATGTTAACCTTAATCAGCATAAGGATTTAAATAAAATCTGTGGTGAGAAAACTCATTTAGTGGCAATTTGCATTTTGCAGCATCTTCTGGCATACCAAAACACATTCAACCGTCACGGGATTTCTCTTTCTTTTGGTTTTTTTTTCCATAAATATATTTGGTTTTTTTCAGATTTCACCTTTTTGTTTGTCAAAGTTCTAGTTTGGGTAACTAAGCATTGGCACTCCCACCTGACCATTGGAAATAGAAGAACATATGTAGAAAAATGAAAGATTAAAAGGATAGAAATATTCCTGGTCTTCTAGAATGGATGATTCTTTTAAATTCTTTGACATTGTTTTCATGAACAATTGATTCTGTAGCCAGATTTATGTATTAATAAGGCAGAAGGGATTATTTTGAATTTAGCATAGCATTGTTGTCTGAACCCAGCTATTTACTGTACAGGTAGTCCTCGACTTATGACCACAATTGAGCCCAAAATTGATATTGCTAGGTGAGAAATTTGTTAAGTGAGTTTTGCCCCATTTTATGAGTTTTTCTTGCCACATTTCTTAAGGGAATCACTGCAGTTGTTAAATTAGTAATACCGTTGATAAGTGAATCTGGCTTCCCCATTGACTTTGCTTGTCATAAGGTCACAAATGGTGATCATAAACAGGACACTGCAAACCGTCATAAATATGAACCAGTTGTCAAGCATCCGAATGTAGATCACATGATCATGGGAATGCGGCAATGGTCATAAGTGTGAAAAATGGCCATAACTCACTTTTTTCAGTACCTTTGTAACTTCAAACGGTCACTAAACAAACTCTTGTAAATCGAGGACTATCTGTATGTGTAAATAATGTAAGGATTCAAGCTGCCTCCCCCTCACCAAATATTCCTTTTATGTCCACTATGTTTCTTGTTCTGAGATATCACCGAACATTCGTGAGAGCTCCTTTATTTTTTGGCAAATGGGTACCCTGTGGCTGACCATGCCCACTGTGGGAGCAGTTTTATGAACTGGCACATATTCCATTTTATGAGAATGCCTGCAATGTATTTTCAAAATGTTGTATATACTCTGCCCAAAAGGATTGTCTGATGCTGAATTTACAGCATGCTATTTTTATGAAGCTAATTCTGGTTCATATTTTAATAAACTTCAGTTAATCAAAGGTTCTTAGAGCCCAGATATCATAGTCCTCTCCTACATGTTCTAAGACTAGATAACTCTGCAAAACAAAATAAATTATGGGTAGTTCTCCACTTACGACTATTTGTTTAACGACCATTCAAAGTTACAACAGTGCTGAAAAAAAAGGAGTTATAACCAGTTCACACACTTACCACTATCATAGCACACACACACACACACACACACCCCACGGTTACATGATCAAAATTTGGGCATTTGGCAATTGGCTTACATTTAGGATGGTTGCAGCATCCCAGGGTCATGTGATTGCCATTTGCAACCTTCCCAGCCAACCTCCGACAAGCAAAGCCCATGGGGGGGAAGCCGGATTTGCCTAACAATCATGCGATTCACTTAATGATCACAGTGATCCACTTAACAGCTGCAGCAAAAAAAAAAAAAAAAGGTTGTAAAATCAGATGCAACTCAAGAGTCGTCTTGCTTAGCAAAGGAAGCTTTGGTCCCAACTATGGTTATAAATTGAGGACTACCTGTATTTGTATTATAGTGTTTTATATCGATTTTGCTAGCTGGACATTCATAAAATGAATCCTGGGCTTTATAGTACAGAGTAGATTTATTTATTTATTTATTTATTTATTTATTAGTTTGATTTATATATGCCGCCCTTCTCCGGAGACTCAGGGTGGCTTACAATGCGTTAAGCAATAGCCTTCATACTTTTGTATATACCTGCTTAGTAGGGCTTTCGCCCCCCACAAGCGGTGTTCTTTTTATACAAAGTCAGCTTATTGCCCCCACAAACTGGGTCCTCATTTTACCTACCTCGAAAGGATGGAAGGCTGAGTCAACCTTGAGCCTGGTGAGATTTGAACTTGCAGTAATTGCAGGCAGCTGGTGCTACTTAACAGCACTTTAGTCTGCTGGGCCACCAAGATGCCAAAATATTTCATGATAGATCTGTAGGAAGGGTCCAATAAAGCCCTCTTAGTGCTACAATCCACTAGAGTCTCGGTACAAAATAAAAAATCCATTAAAATAGGCCAGGCAATTGAAAAACTGCCTTTATGAACCAAACATAATTATTTTTAATGAGATCACTGGGACTCTGCCTGTGGTGCAATGTTGAGCTTGTGTGGATTTTTGTGATTGCAAAAATGTATATAGTTTGGGAGTGTGTAGAAATCTCTTACATTAGAAATTTAGAAGCTTGTGTAATATTATTACACAACTTATTTTCCAAAGCACCAGAGGGCAGGACAAGAAACAATGGATGGAAACTAATCAAGGAGAGAAGCAAACCTTGAATTAAGGAGAAACTTCCTAAAGTAAGGACAATTAATTAGTGGAACAGCTTGTCTCCAGAAGTTGTGGGTGTCATTGGAGGTTTTTAAGAAGAGACTGTCACTTGCCTGACATGGTATCGGGTCTCCTGCTTGAGCAAGGGGTTGGACTAGAAGACCTCCAAGGTCCCTTCCAGCTCTATTCTATTCTGATCCTGTTTCTGATATTATTGGGTTGGCTACGCTTAAAGTGCTGGATGAGTAATAATAGGAGCATCAAGGAAGCAACAAAATTAAGTGATTTCAGGATCTCTTTACAGCCATCTAGTTATCAACTAAAATCTGGGTAATCCCTGAAATACTGTAATGTCTTGATGGACATGTTTCTTTCTTGATTTGGCAACTATGGTAAAATGAATACCGTATATCTGGAGCCATTGGGAACTCAGGCTGGCTCAAAACCTGACCAAATAACTAAAGTCATATTTCATTTTTTTCCTGTGTGGTTTTATCTTAATATTTTTTTATTTCTTTCTGTTTTCTAGTGGCTTAGGATATATCACGGGATCAAGTGTCAAGCAAGTAGCTGGAGATTGGCACTGGGCCCTGCGGGTGAGTAAGTGAGCAGGATTATCATATCTGCATTGCAAAAATCTAAGTCACCACAAGATGGCAGCAAAGAGAGATAGGACACTCCAGCTCTTGGCTGCTATCTAGTGATGATCCAGTTTTTGCAGCCTGTGTATTGTAGCTCTAGTAATGAACTCCTGTTTAGATTTAACACATTTGTATAGAACATCTGAATAAATATCATGCCTTTCTCCCTGATTTAAGCAAAATTTATAATTCTGCGGAATTCAGGTGCAACATAATGGCCTAATATATATTTGATGTACCTGATTTCTGATGTATTAAGTCCTGATGTGTGGTTTGTTTGGCTTTAACTTAACATGTTCTGCAAACCTAAAAATTGCAATTTGTAAATCACAGTGTTTGGCTTTGTGTGAAGTATGAATACAACAAGCTGTGGTTTGTTTATTCAACCAGTTACTCAGCATGGCGTGCAGAGTGATGCTTGTGGAGAGAAGATTTGATGGAAATGAAGATTTATCCTCTTATATTATTTTGGACATAAAGTTTTGCAGTTGAGTGAAGTTACAGTAGAGGTTAATTGCGCTACAATTAGAAATAGGCTAGGAAATGATTTGTGGATGTCGCTTACTGCCTGTATTTTTCCATGCATATTTATTCCTTCAAAATTCCCAGAAGGTTTGGATGATGATATGATTGTAGGATCTGGACAATTTTCCTGTGACCAGAGGTTGCCTTTTAAATTATTCTACATGGTCAGCCAGAGGTGTGGCTTATATTACAATGTCAACGGTGCATCTGAGGCCAACGTTTGACTCACCATGTTCCTTTCTGAAGTGTTTGATGGGGTTGAAGTAGATGGGAACTCTGTAGCTCCAAAATGACTCATTTGGGTTCAGTTGATGTGGCTGTGGATTGTCTAATCAGATCCATGAGTGAAGAGATTGGTTTGGCTTATTAGTGGATGAGTTTAATGGGTTGTGCATGCAGGGCCACTGTGTTCCTGAGGTATATTCGGAGATGTTGGTAGAGGTATATGTGGGAAAATGATGAGAGCCAAAGGCCAGAAATGGACCATTACATTCTTCGATGACTTTTTGCATTCTGCTAAGCAGGATGTTGTTCCCAGCAATCCATTCCTGTTCTTCCCCCCCGTTTTCCCCACAAGCCCTCTTTTGAGTGCTTCAGCTTTTTTTCCTTTAGGTTTTTTCCATTTCCTCTCCTCCCCCCACCCTCGATTTTGGCAAACCTCTAAACTTGCCAATCGAATAGCAAAGTTGAAAGGGACCCTCGAGGTCTTCCGTTCCAACCCCCTGCTCAAGCAGGAGACCCTATACCATTTCAGACAAATGTTTGTGCAAGATCTTTTTAAAAACCTCCAATGATGGAGCACTCACTCACAACTTCTGAAGGCAAGTTGTTCCACTGGTTGATTGTTCTTCATGTTAGGAAATTTCTCCTTAGTTCTTGGTTGGTTCTCACCTTGATTAGTTTCCATCCCTTGTTTCTTGTTCTTCCTTCAGGTACTTTGGAGATTACGTTGACCCCCTCTTCTTTGTGGAATATTGCTATCATGTCACCCCTAATCCTTTTTTTTTTCATTAAACTGGACATACCCAATTCCTGCAACAATTGTTCCTATGTTTTAATCACCAGTCCCCTAATCATCTTTGTTGCTTTTCTCTGCACTCTTTCTAGAGTCTAAAACATTGTTTTTATATCATGATGGCAGAAAAACTAAACCATCAACCAAATTATCTCCCTTTTCTTTATCTATTATTCTGAGTGCATAAATGTTGGCACTCATAAACTGATCCTCAGAGTAGAAAGAATTATAGTGAAGTGCTAGTAGTACTCTATAATGGCTGTTTTGACTATTCTGTACCCTTATCACACTGACAATGTTGCTTTTACAAAGATCTGAATTAATTTAAATGCAACCCCTGCCCATTCACCTTCCCACCTAAAAAAATGTCAGAGAGAAGAATTCTATTTAATCCAGCTATATATAAAACTTGGCCTAAAAATGAAACAGCTAGTTTCATGTCTAGTTTTTTTTTTTAAAATTTGATTTATATGCTGCCCTTCTCCGGAGACTCAGGGCGGCTTACAGTGCGTTAAGCAATAGCCTTCAACTTTTGTATATTTATACAAAGTCAGCTTATTGCCCCCACAAACTGGGTCCTCAATTTACCTACTTTAGAAAGGATGGAAGGCTGAGTCAACCTTGAGCCTGGCGAGATTCGATCTTACTTTAATTGCAGACAGCTGGTGTTAAATTACAGTGCTCTGTCTGTGAGCTATCCAGGCTCACAGACAGAGCCTGGATAGTTTAATGAAAAGAAGGATTGGGGTGACATGATAGCAATGTTCCAATATCTAAAGGGCTGCCAGAAAGAAGAGGGGGTTAACCTATTCTCCAAAACACTTGAAGGCAGGACAAGAAGCAATGGGTGGAAACTAATCAAACAGAGAAGCAACCTAGAAATTTCCTGACCGTCAGAACAATTAACCAATGGAACCACTTGCCTCCAGAAGTTGTGGGTACTACAAAATTGGAAGTTTTTAAGAAGTGATTGGACAACCATTTGTCTGAAATGGTATAGGGTTTCCTGCCTAAGCAGGGGGTTGGACTAGAAGACCTCCAAGGTACCTTCCAACTCTGTTATTCTGTTATTCAGCTAAATTGAAACCCTGTATTTTTTGCCATTTCTCACTGAGATTTCCACCTCACCTCTCTCCCATAGCTTCTCTTTCATTTACTCCCCTCGTTTGTTGGAGCACATACAAAATCTGTTACACAATTTAGGGCGCTTCCGATTTATTTATGCCAGTTTATTGTTGAGATAGCAAAGGCAAAAAGGTAGCCTCAGTCCACTGTTCTTAATTTCCCTTATTATTAAGCATAAAGCATTTATTTATTTTTTTGGTTCTGTTCGGGGGTGCATGAGAGAGAGGAACACTTTGTCTCACTTCACATTTCTTTTCCTGCACCGAGCCATTCTTATTTCCTTCTATTTTATCCCCCTGGGGACCCTGATAAATGTGCCAGGGAAGACTAGCACACAATGCTCAGAGCAGACACACACAAAAATTGGCCTGGATGGAAAAATAGCCGAGAGGAAATAAGACAGCAAAACTGCTTACTGACCTTTGACTCTGCTTGGATTCCGGCTATCCGAGAGGTGATTGCTGTTTCCTCGTCACTGGACTTCTGCAGAGGTGGAATTTTAGAGATGGTGCCATTTAGAAGTGTTGAATACCATCACATGCCTGGTTCGGAATAAGCATCTTTATGCAGGTTAATTAGTTCTGTTTTGTAGATGAGATAGAATTTGCATGGCATTTTCAAATGCTGAGAGGACATTGAATGCATGATTTAGGTGGGTGGTTGTTTTGGTTTTTTTTACATCAGCATTATAAATTGTGCCAGCATAATTATCTTTCATATAGTTCATGCTGTAGATTATGGGTAGGAGGGAAGGGGAGGTTCACTTAAGATTGCAAGTGAATTAATGAAAGGAGAGATTCAGTTGATAATAGCTTAATCTATTTAGCAAGGAATAGAATGGAGATAAGTTGGATGTTTCTCCCAGATATTTTATGCTGTTTATATAAAACACATAGCAAATAGCAATAGCACTTAGACTTATATACCGCTTCACAGTGCTTTTACAACCCTCTCTAAGAGGTTTACAGAATCAGTTTATTGCCCTCAACAATCTGGGTCCTCATTTTACCCACCTGGGAAGGATGGAAGGCTGAGTCAATCTTGAGTCTGGTGAGATTCGATCTGCCAAACTGCTGGCAGCTGGTAATCAGCAGAAGTAGTGCACTCTAATCGTTGCACCACCACAGCTCTTAATACACACACATACGTACATTCATAAATTTCATAACAAATTGTATAGCATTACAGGTAGTTCTTGTTTAGCAACTGTCTCGTTTAGGGACAATTTTCAGTTGATACAGTGAAAGACCTTCGCAGATCTGTAAAGCAAAGGAATACTGAAATAAAATCATAAGCACAGTCATAGTTTTCATTTAGCTAGTGATTTGTTTAATGACCAAGTTGCCTGGCCCAGCTGTGGTCACTAAACAAGGACTACCTCTTTGCTGTTGACTTTGCTGTTGGGGAATATACGGAGTCAATATAATTCCATAATTTTTGATGGTGAGGTAGAACTTCCTTGGCAAGTTGGCTATGTTGTATGGAATTTTTCCAAACTTGGTTATGAGTTTGGAAAAAAGTAAAGGAGGGCATGATGTTGTATGAGATCATTATATATATGACATGGAGAAAGTTGACAGGGAGATTTTCTGCTGGACAACCAAACTGATAATGATTAATTTGGAATCAAAACTTTATCACTTTAAATTCACTTGTAGGAGAAGTTCTAAACATGGCTGGTTTGAAAATGATTTCAGTGCCTGTGTAACCCCCTCCTTTCAAGTGCTATAAATAAGTTGACACGCATGGAGATAAATAATTTTCCCTCCAGACTTTTCAGACCTCGGTTCTGAAGATTCGACCCCACCATTCCAATATTTTCTTTGCAATTCCCAAGGCAGGAATTTCTTAATTATATAAGAAAAATAGAAGAGGTGAATTTCTGCTCTGATCTAGGAATCCTGTTCTTTGTCTTGAGTTTTGATATCAGATCATTCGCTTTGGGCTATTTTCTCAGCTGTTTTTCTTCCCCCTCTTCTCTTCCAGGTTTCTCCACTTTTAGGTATGATCACAGGGACACTTATATTAATATTTGTACCAGCTGCTAAAAGAGGCAACGCTGAACAACTGGGGGCACAGCTGAAGGCCCGGACCTCCTGGCTGAGGGACATGAAGGCCTTGATAAGAAAGTAAGGCAACCCTTCTTAGGGTTGATTTTAAATTTTTCTATGTTAGAAACCAACTTGAGATACTTTACGGGTTCAAAGCCAGACAGCTGGGAGTAACATTTTTTAAAATTGCCACAATATTCCACTTCTCCAGCTTTTTTTTCATGAAGCTACTGATGACAGCAACTATTTAGTGCAATGTCAACACCATTGATGTGCTAAGTGCCTTGTATATTACAGAAATGATAACAGCCCTTTCCTAGAGGACTTTTAATTCCTTTGTATCATCATATTAAGCTGGTATGGTTTTTCAACCTCATTTGTCATGGAGCGGCAGTTTTATGGTAGAAATTAAGAATAATAGAATAACAGAGTTGGAAAGGACCTTGGAGGTCTTCTAGTCCAACCCCCTGCTCAAGCAGGAAACCCTATATCATTTCTGACAAATGGTTATCCAATCTCTTCTTAAAGCCCCCCCAGTGTTGGAGCACATAGAACTTCTGGAGGCAAACCAGTCTACTGATTAATTGTTCTGTCAGGAAATTTTCCTTATTTCTAGGTTGCTTCTTTTCTTGATTAGTTTCCATCCATTGCTTCCTGTCCTGCCTTCAGGTGTTTTGGAGACTAGGTTGACTCCCTCTTCTTTGTGGCAGCCCTTTAATTATAGCTGCTTAATTATAAATTATAGGTATCAAACTTTGGAAGAGTTTTTGAGATTATTTCTGGGCTACTGTATATGAGTAAGAAGGATCAGGTGTTTCCTGGACAGATCTGGTTTTTTTCTTCTACTCTGTTCAAAAGACTCATTTACTGACTTACAACCCCCTTTGTCTTCAGTCGCAGTTATGTGTTTTCGTCCCTGGCTACCTCTGCTGTTTCCTTTGCCACGGGAGCTTTGGGGATGTGGTTCCCTGTTTACCTGCATCGGGCCCAAGTTGTTCAAAAAACAGCAGAGATTTGCACTTCACAGCCCTGTGGGACTAAAGACAGGTAAGGTTTTGTTCTATATTCATATTCCCCTATAACCGTGATGGCCAACCTATGGCACGCGTGCCCAAAGTGGCACGTGGAGCCATGTTGCTTGGCACATACGGCATCACCTGTTCCTCTTCCGGGTTTCTGGCGTGCATGCCCGCATGATGATCAGCTGGCCTTCGTGCGTGCGGCAGTGCTGGAAACTGGAAGAGCTGGTCTTCCATTTTCTGTGTGAGCATGCGCGCTGGCTAGCTGATTGAAGCACGTACATGCATGCCAGAAACCCGGAAGACTAGCTGGCTGGCGTGCATTCATACGCCGGAAACCGGAAGTTCATTTTCAGGCGCACACATGTGCCCTGGGTAGCTCCTCTTCCAGGTTGCGGCCCAAAAGTGAGCGCAGACTCCCTTTTTGGCACTCGGGGCCGAAAAGGTTCGCCATCACTGCCCTATAAGCTATAAAATATTTCCTCAGAAGATGTTCACATATCGTTGGCTGTATTTGCGTTATGGTATAGCAGATGCTGCTCTAAACCTCCAGAGGAAGAGTGGGCAGTACAACATTTTAAATGAATAAATGAAATTGCCATGTTCAGAGACAGCAAGCATGAACGTACCAAGAACTAGAAGGAGTGAGACAAGTGCAGGAGAAGGCCATTACTCACATGTCCTGCTTGAGTGCTTCTTGGCAAACAGGCCTGGTTGGCCACAGGACTAGAGAACCTTCACTGGTTCCTCAGATAATCAGAAACCGAGCCTTCCTGCTTAGATGCGATTCATTTGAAGATACCATAGGCTGGGAGTGAAACAAAAGGAGGGTTAGTCCTTCTTTAGTGACCAATATTGGGACTGACAATTCGGTTGTTAAAGAGACATGGTAACTAAGTGAAACATCATATTATTATGATTTTACTTCAGTTTTCCTTTGTAGACCTGCAAATAGCCATAAATCGAAGCACTGGTTGTAAAATTACTTTTTCATATGAATGGTGGCTAAATAAATCAGTCACTAAATGAGGACTAGCTCTACTTTTTCCAGTTCAGGCTGTTCTTTTGGGCTTTTCTAGGGACAACCAGTCTTAATATTTAATACAATCCACAAAGCTTTTTATAGATTTTATTTTAAAAGCAGGAATTTACTTATTTGTATTTCTTCCTGCCGCCATGACAGTGTTTGAGTTCTGAGAGGAAAATAAATGCAGGCCATTTCATCTTAAATTCTATCTGATCATATTACTTCAGTTGACCAATAGTGGTTTTACATACATTTTTTTTTCCTTCTGTACTTTTGCCTCCTTTGCAGTCTTAATTGTCACAACTACCATGAGGGGCAGAGGTTCATATTTTGTTTAATGATAATAGAAATGAAAGTTGAATGATTTAAGAACAGTGGAATGTAGGCATGGAGTGGCAAAAAATAGCTTGTCCAGAGATACCGTAAGTTTTAAATAAACTTCTTAAATGCAAATATTTTTAATTTTCCATTTATTGTCAAAAACTCAGATCTGAGTTATTGAAAGAACCTAGAATTCCCGTGAAACTTGAGAATCTCCAGAAACTGCTTTTTTTTTTTTTCTGAATTCTTTTGCAGGGGTTTAATCCATCGATCTCCATGTAGCACCTCTTACTCATTGCCTTGCCTTGCTAATTCAACCCTCCCTGCTGCCTCTCACCTACTGCCTTGTGTATAAAAATAAGTACACCTAAATGAGAAAAGGGTTTTATTTCTGGAATCGTTCTGTGTCCTTAGCTTGATCTTTGGAGCCATCACCTGCTTCACTGGATTTCTGGGCGTGATCACTGGGGCTGGAGCTACCAAGTGGTGCCGGGTGAAAACACAAAGAGCGGATCCTCTAGTTTGCGCTGTCGGGATGCTGGGGTCAGCCATCTTTACCTGCTTGATTTTCGTTGCAGCCAAGAACAGCATTGTAGGAGCCTATGTAAGTGATCAGTCTGGAAAAGGGGAGGCTGAGTTGGATTTCTCTTCCTTCATATATCTATCTACAGATAAGCCTCGTATTATAGCTGTAATGGAGCCTATCCATTATGGTTGTTAAGTCCTACCGGTCGGAAAACAGATCTGTTATGTGGCCGACCCATCTATACAATGTTGTTTGTAGTGGTCATTAAGTGATCACAGCAATTGTAAAAACGAATGCAATTGTTAAGCAAATGCCATGGGTCAAACCCATAATTCGCTGTGGCGCACTTTTGCCAAAACTGGAACTGAAAGCCAGTTTTTGTCAAAACCGTCATGAAATGCAGTCACATGACTGCAGGATGTTGCAAACGTATATATATATAGCCCAAAAATTAGCCCTAGCTTGATTCTACATGTGCGTCCAATATAAGCCCTATCGCCAAAATAAGCCCTAGTTAAGAACCCACCCACTCCATTTTACCTGGTTGCACAAGGTGGATGAGGTGTACAGGTATAAATCAAGCTAGGGTGGGGATGAGGGGTGGAGCTGCCCCTTGTGCCCCGCACACACTAACCTTAGGACAGTTGCAGCCAGGCCTTCCATGCCTTGACACCTGCCTCGCCTTGCCGGCTACTTCTGCTTCCGCTTGCGCGTGTTGCCCCCAGCCTCCATTTTGCCATCAGAGGTCTTCTTCTGGGAGGGGCTGTCGGTACCACCGCCATGAGGTGAGAGAGTGGAAAAGACATCCCCTGAAAATAAGACCTAATGCCTCTTTTGGAGGCAAAATAAATAAATAAAACAAGACCAGATCTTAAGGAAGGTTAGGGGAGAATGGGGAAGAAATAATTATATTTTCCCTCCAGGCCTTAACTTCTTTTGTTTTGCACATTGCAACTTCTGGTTCATACATTTCTTCTGGCTATGCCCTAGAAGGAGAAGACAGAGTAGAGGCTGATGCTTCCTGGTTTTTAGGAGCAGTCAATCTATTGCCTTCTGGCATTTAAATCTCAGGAAGTACGAATTCAGAATTCCTATATAACACCCAGTTCATTTCCCTGCTTTTAAATCTCAAAAAGAGGGTAAAGGACAATGCCAAATACAGTGGTACCTTGGTACTCATCGTTAATTGGTTTAGGGAGGCATGATGAGTACCCAAAACAATAAGTACCAAACAAATTTTTCCCATAAGGAATAATGTCACAAGGCACCCAACACTGACAAATTCTAGCTTGTGCATTGAGCACCAAATAAATGATGAGTATCAAGACAAAATTTTCACATCAAAATACGTTAAGTACCAGATTCAATTAATTTCAAAGCAGTTGAGTACCAAGTTGAGTGCCTGGAGTCTCCACACTTGAAAATGGACCTTAGCCGATGCTTTAATATACTAACTGGTGACCTTGATTCTATTCCAATGTATTAAGTTCCCTTTATACATTATTAATGCAGTTCTTTGAATGCTGATCCTTCTGTAGTCAAAATGGCCCTGCCGGTAATAAAAATAACACCACTGAATAGTTTTTGGAAACATGCATAAACAAAAAAAACTATTAGCTGTGATGTAAAACAAAGCTATTTCAAGGACTCCAAGTGCTTCTAGGATGTTCAGAATCACCACTTTGCATTTCGAGTTCAAGATAATCTAAAATTGAAATGTTTGGCATACCTTTAGCTGCAACCAGAGTTCCTCTTTTGTGTAATCAACCTATATATTTAACTTCCTCTCCATCAAGGCAGATTCCCTTTCAGTACTTGATGGAGTTCTTTTTTTTTTTTCCAGACCCCATTTTTTTAGCATGCTCTGTAGCTTATGTTTGTATTTATGTCCATGTTTATACTGGTAGAATTATTGTTAGCTACCTTGAGAATTTAAGGAAGTATATAAATACTACAAATCAGGCAGAACATATGGCGTTGCAAATGTTGCTGGATTCTAGCTCCCTTTATCCCAGCCATAAGCCATGTTCAGTAACATCTGGAAGTTCCCTGTTCCTGCTATAAATATATTTCTCACCATGGTTGACCTCTATCTCTTTTTGAAATACACAGAATTTTTACCAGTTTCTAAACTTCCTCCTTATAAACATATAACAATATAAGCTTACAAACCTTATAAAACTATAAACATTTTATAAGTATTTCTTTAATAAAAATTTTCCCGATCACAAATAAGTAAAATAATTTAAAAAAAACCTTCCCTCCCTGTCTCCTCCACCCCACAGATAAGGTTCAGTAGATGTTAACAGTAAATTGCCATGCATTCAGAGCAGTGGTGAAATGTAAAATTTGTTACTACTGGTTCTGTGGGCGTGGCTTGGTGGTGATGGGTTATATGATTGAATGGGCATGGGCAACTTTTTTTTTTTAACTTTTAAGACCATTTTTTCTACAACCTCTTCGGCTGGAGAGGTTGTTAAAAAATGCTTTTAAAAGCCTCTGACGATCCCAGCTGAGTTGCCTGATCGGCAGAGGCTTTTTTTTTTAAGAAACATTTTTTCTACAACCTCTTCAGCCGAAGAGGTTGTAGAAAAAATGCTTTTAAAAGCCTCTGATGATCTGAGCTGAGCCACACGATCATCAGAGGCTTTTTTTTTTACTTTTAAAAGCATTTTTTCAGCTGAAGAGGTTGTAGAAAAAATGCTTTTAAAAATAAAAAAATAAAGCCTCTGAGGATTGCGCGGCTCAGCTGGGCACGGGGGGAGGGATGTTTGCTACCGGTTCTCCGAACCACCCACCGCCATCGCTACCGGATCGGGTGATCCATCCGAACCGGGAGCATTTCACCCCTAATTCAGAGGTGGTATTCAGTCGGTTCAGACCAGTTCGTCCGAACCAGTTACGGAAATTGTGGGTAGGCTCATGTACCCGCCCCGGCTCTATGCCATCCTATTTAGGCACATTTTTTGAGGCCGGGCGCATGCACGGACAGGGCACGCACCAGGAAAGCACGTGCACAGAAGGCCGGGCGCATGCTTGGATGGGGCGTGTGCGAGTGAAGCGACCACGCACGCATGTAAGCTCACATTTGTGAACCAGTAGGAGAAAGTAAATGAATACCACCCCTGCGTGCATTCAGTTAATATTGAGGATGCAGTCTTTAAAACAGAACCACCAAATTGTGGGATACTTCTCAAACTTGCATGAATAAATTGTATATGTCTACTGTTTCAACCACAGGTCTGCATTTTTATTGGTGAGACTCTTTTGTTTTCAAACTGGGCCATCACAGCTGACATTCTTATGGTAAGTTGATATGGAAGTTTAACTTGCATTTAATTTACTGGCATAGGGCTATATGTATGTTTTGCAATTGGGCAACTGTTGTTGGACTCAAACATTAAGCTTGGAGTACCGGTATGTGCCTAACATATTATATTAATGCATTTCCTTCGTTACAAACTAGATTGAAGGCTAATCTAATTAGAAGTAATCAAGTTTAGTTGTTGGGCAAATGCAGCTGCTAGAACTTTAACTGGCCTGGTTAAATGTGTTTGTTTGAATGCGCCCTCTGCCTCATCAGCCATAGCTAGTATGGCTAATTTTCTCCTGCAAGCTAACCATTGCAATGTTCCTCATCAAAGTTGCTAGGAAGAGACTTGCACTATAAATAACTTCCATTTAGTCTTATTGTTTTGTCACTCTTCACCTTCACCTCCTCAGGTTCTTGCTCTTTCTCTGCATAATACACATAAACACGTTCCGCAGGCAGGCAGGCAGGCAGGCAGCAATGGCGGGCGAAGGCAGGTTAGCAATGGCGGGCGAGCAGGCGAAATGTGGAATGACTGGGTGGGAAGGGGTGGGGCCAGCCGGTGGTGCAATTTGCCAGTTCGCCAAACTGCACAAAACAGTAACAACCGGTTCGCCCGAACCAATCCGAACCGGCTGAATCCCACCCCTGGTTCTGCTTCTTCATTTGGAGAGCTGTCTCCTTCTTTAAACCTCGATAGAAATTCCATTCTTCAGCTTTCTAGAGACCATCTCTCATCTCTCACTTCTAATTACAGATTTTCCCAATAAGGGCATAGTTTTTCCCACCATTAAAACAGGAGGTCTAGCTTATATATTTCATGTTGTGTAGATGTAGCAGGGAGGTGTCACAGCAAGTGGTAGCACGTAGTCAATCTTGGCTGTTCTAAAAAAAAAAAAGGCTAAGCAGAGTTGGATCTGGTTAGTATCTGGAATTGAAGACTGCCATAAAATCTCAAGGCTATAGAAGTTGAATTTCATCCATGGGAGATTAGTAGAAAGAAGCAGGTCACCATAGTACTACTGGAGACCTCTTGGCTGCTTTCCCTTCTCATTCCTCTGGATTTTGATACTGGTCCTAAAATTTATGGGCGTTCTTCTTAAATGGCCTTTGCCACTGGCCATTTCCATAGGATGTGGGCATCAAAAACAACAATGGTTTAGAGATGCCTTCTGCAGTGCTATGAATAGTCTTGCTTGTTCTCTGTGGTGGGAAGAGGACATCACTGGGAAACCAGAGCTTTCTCCAGGCCTCTACTTAAGGAAGTATGTTTGGCCAAACAACCGTATCTGTCCTTTGGGCAGCAAAATCTGGACAACTCCCATAGTAAAAATTTAGTTTCAGCTTTATTTTATTCTTCAAAATGCCAGTCTACTTTTGTAACTGACTACATCTGCAAACTTGGGCAGGAACTACTTTTTCACTAAATGTTTCTTCCCCCTACCCCCCATGATCAGCTACTCTCAGTTGATTAAAACAACCTACATAGCTTATGGATCTCCTGATTTGCTCCTAATTCATGCAGTTCAGGAGCCCTGAACTGGGCTGCAGTTTAGTTCCAAATTAAAAAGGATCTAACTGAGCCTTCTTCTGATAGAATAGAATAGAATAGAATTCTTTATTGGCCAAGTGTGATCGGACACACAAGGAATTTGTCTTGGTGCATACGCTCTCGGAGTACATAAAAGAAAAGATACGTTTGTCAAGAATCATAAGGTACAACACTTAGTGATAGTCATAGGGAAACAGTCAATATAAATCTTAAGGATACCAGCAACAAGGTTACAGTCATACAGTCATATGCAGGAGGAGCTGGGTGGTGGGAACAATGAGAAGATTAATAGTAGCGCAGACTTAGTAACCAGTTTGACAGTGTTGAGGGAATTATTTGTTTAGCAGAGTGATGGTGTTCGAGGAAAAACTGTTCTTGTGTCTAGTTGTTCTGGTGTGCAGTGCTCTATAGCGTTGTTTTGAGGGTAGGAGTTGAAACCATTTAGGTCCAGGATGTGAGGGGTCTGTAAATATTTTCACAGCCCTCTTTTTGACTCGTGCAGTATACAGGTCCTCAATGGAAGGCAGGTTGATTGATCAATTGCTCTCCAGTTATGTTGAAGTACTATATCCACCCTCTGCAGACAGAACATCCAATAGCATAGCTCGTGTGTGTGTGTGTGTGTGTGTGTGTGTGTGTGTGTGTGTGTATTCATTCAAGTCCCTCTTGATGATTGCCTGGACAAGTCCCTCCAGAGTTCTTAGCAGCCTTTTCAGACAGATGGTTGCCATTGCCTTCTTCCCATGGCTGAGAAAGAGCGATTGACCAAAAATCACCCAGCTGGCTTCAATCCCTAAATCGGGACTAGAACTCATGGTCTCCCCTTTTCTAGCCTATTGCCTTAAACACTGCACCAAACTGGCTGATGTTCGCTATCTGATGGTTCCTATCTGCGTACGGTTAGGTGGGGAAAGGGAGCCCTGGTGGTGCAGTGGTTAACTGCAGTATTGTAAGCAAACTCTGCCCACAGTCAGGCGTTCGATCCTGACAAGGCTCAGGGTTGACTCAGCCGTCTATCCTTCCAAGTTTGGTAAAATGAGGACCCAGATTGTTGGGGGCAATATATAAATAATGCTGAAATTGTAAACCACCCAGAAAGTGCTGTAAAGAAATAAAGGGAGGTATTTAAGTCAAAATACAGTTGCTGTTTCTAAAAGAAAAATTGTTCAGAATGATTAAATGCTATGATGTTTTAATCTTTTATCTCCCTCCCTGCCTTCTACATTCCATTTCAGTATGTGGTTATTCCTACACGCCGAGCAACAGCCGTAGCGTTGCAGAGCTTCACCTCACATCTTTTGGGAGATGCTGGAAGTCCCTACCTGGTTGGATTTGTAAGTATACCCTTGGCACACCTGAGGAATAGGATAAGAAGCTGGGTTCTTGTGAGAATGATAATTCTCCCTAGCTCTGCACACACCCGGGCTTTGTGATTGCATTTAATGCTCTTAATCTGGCAATTCAATGAATCCATGTTCTAGTTCATACAAAACATTTGGGATATAAGCTAAGCCAACAGTCAGGTTTTGTATAAGTCCACACATCCAGGGGTGAAATTCAGCAGGTTCTGACAGGTTCTGGAGAACCGGCAGATACCACATCTGGCTGGCCCCAGAGTGGAGAGGGAATGAAGATTTTGCAATATCTTTCCCCTGGAGTGGGGTGGGAATGGAGATTTCACAGTATCCTTCCCCTGCCACGCCCACCAAGCCACACCACACCACGCCCACCAAGCCACGCCCACAGAACCGGTAGTAAAAAAATTTGAATTTCACCACTGCACACATCCCAAAAAAATCTTTAGCCAAGTAACACTAATTTAGCATCGTGTGTGATGTGAATGCATCTTCTAGACCTTTATTATTAGAGTTGTTTGTCACACCTCTCACTTCGAGGTTACTCTTTATCTGAAGGTGTGCACTTTGTTGAATGAACTGAGCCACACATCTACAGAAGAAGAAAAGAGAGTACCATTAATGAAACCAGAAAGAGACATAGGAACGAAGTGTTTTTGGCACGACACAATTTTCTGTTTCTTCAGATCCACAGTTTAAGATACCTCTCTGATTTCTGTGGTGATTTTGAATTTAAAATAATTTATTTTAAAGTTTTCTATGTACTCCTTTCTTCTCCTATTATCCTCACAATCCTTGATGCTACAGACATTTTTTGGGGAGTGGGTGGGGGGGATGTTCCCAATCAGGGTGCTAGCCCAGACAAATTCTGCTATTTGCGGATAATTAGAAAACCTCCCCAAAGTGATAAGGGATGGGTAAGGTATTCTTTAACATAATCTTTCTAACAAAGATAAGCTTCTCCCTCTCCTGCATTAGGGAAATGAGATGGAAGAGTAACTGACATCGCCACTTAACACTTCAAGAGGGAGCTAGTTACTTAGAAGACTCCTCTATGTTAAGCACCCTAGTTTTGGTTTACACTATTATTCAGGGTATTTCTAAAACACAAACACATGCATACACCCACATGCCAAATGTGGTGCTAACTTGGGACCACAGAGCATATTGTTTTCCTTGGTTCCTGCAATCATTAAAATAAATGTATGCTTATTGCCTGATATTATTTAGCCATCTAGCCCAGATATTCTACTGTGATCTGGAATTTTCCCAACTCTATCTGGAGTTTGCCTAATTAGAATCTGAAGCAAAATGGGTGTTCCAACGTGACTTCACCCCAGTTCTAAATGAAGGCTCTGTATACAAAGAGATTGCTCAGTAAATGAATTTGAGTTGGGCCTTAGATGTTGAACCTAGGAAAATGCCTCATACTGCATCAGGTAATGGATTCCTTTAACACTGAAAAGTGTCGGTTCTACCACATTTCCAGTGGAGAAGTCTCCCTTGGTTGATAGATCCTTTAATAAAGTAAAAGGTAAAGATTTCCCTATCCAGTCATGTCCGACTCTAGGGCACAGTGGTCATTTCCGTTTATTGGCCAGAGAGCCTGTGTTGTCCCAAGACTGTTGGCTTAACTTATATCCCAAATGTTTCCATCACTGGTGGAATTCAAATAATTTAACAACTGGTTCTCTGCCCTAATGACCGACTGGGTGGGCGTGGCCATGGTGGGCATGGCCAGGGCATGTGACAGGCAGCACTGAGCCTCCTGCACCCCCCTGGGAGCAAAAACTGGCCGTGGGAGGTGGCGCTGCCCCCCCATGCCCCATTTTGGGCCTAGGAGGCCTCCTTGCAGCCTTCTGGGAGTGAAAACGGGCCACGGGGGGCGCCACATACCCCCACGCTCTGTTTTGGGCCTAGGAGGCCTCCCTGGGAGCCAAAATGGGGTGTGTGGGGACTCCTGGAAGGGGCGGGGAGGGGAGAGGCTGAATCCCACCACTGGTTTCCATGGTCATGTGGCCAGCATAGCTATATGCCAAAAACATATGGGAAGTTGTTACCGTAGTACCGTACAAAGTGGTACCTATTAATCTACTCGCACTTGCATGCTTTTGAACTGCCAGGTGGGTAGGAGCTGAAGCAAGGAACGGAAGCTCACCCCATTGTGCAGTGCTCAGGTCTCGAACCCGGGCTTTCTGCTTTCTAGCTGACAAGCTCAGTGTCTTTAACCATTGAACCATCATGCCCCCTTCAGATTTTTTTCATAGAAGGTGGCAAAGTTGGCAACTGGAATTTTTGCACCTGGGAAAAATGGGTGGTTTATCTCTGAACAAGGGTTCCCACCATCCTCTTATCCCTGGAGGATCTAGTCTGGGAGTTACAGCCACTTGTGGAGAGACTTATGCCAACAAAAAGAAAAACATCGCAATGGGAAATCCTGCCTAACAGTCATAGGAGGAGCCAGCCAGTTAACTGTAAGAATGTCAGGATTTGTTTTTCTGTGCAAAACTGAGAAAGTCTCACAAATCTTGGCAAGGAAGCAGTTGGTTTCCCCCATCCCATTTCAAATAAACTATGTTGGTGACAAAGAGAATGTCCATAAATAGGCTTATCTCTGTCTGTTCCGTCTCTTTCCACCCCCTCCACCCCCTACTTTTCCCTTCTAGATCTCTGATGTGATACGGCAGAGCACAAAGGAGTCGCCACTCTGGGAATTCCTCAGTTTAGGCTATGCGCTGATGCTGTGCCCTTTTGTTGTGGTCCTCGGGGGGATGTTTTTCCTGGCCACGGCCCTCTTCTTCCTAAGCGACAGAGCCAAAGCCGAGCAACAGTGAGTACCTCTCAGTGGTGTGGGAAAAGGAAAACAGCATGTGTTATATTTTTAAAGAAGGGCATTGTCATTTGCCATTTTGGCACTGGTATCCAATTTAAACAATGAGAAGAGCCACGGGTGCATTTCCAATCTGAACAGTGTCAACCTCAGCTTGAAACACCAATTCAAGAAATTGAGGTGCGAGATTGTGTGCTTGGAGACTCCAGCAAGCTCTAATAATGAAAGTGTTATCATTTCCAGATTTGCTAGTAGATCAGTCTTTTGAGTACTACTGTGGGGGCCATTCAATTGCTTTCTTATCAGTCCACATTATCTAGAAGAAGAGAGACTATAACTCTTTCTTTCTCCTTGCTCTTCTTACTGCTTTGTTGCTCCTGATAGTCCATATGGGGGTCTTTTTGGTAGAAGTACTACAGTGCTTTATTGAAAGCAAAAGTAGAAGGGGACAGCGTAGGATGGGATGATTAGATGGTTAGATAGCATCATCCACGCAATGAACATGAATTTGGGCAAACTCTGGGAGGCAGTGGAGGGTAGGGGGGCCTGGCATGCCATACTCCATGGGATCACAAAGAAAGGACTTAGTGACTAAACAACAACAGTATAGTGCTTTTCTGTTGTCTTCTTCCCACTCTTATAGGGGTTCATAAATGATAACCAGAAATTCGAGTTGCATTTGAAATCCTATTAGGAGCCAGTGCAGTTCAGAAAGTAGTGTTGTTACCTAGGTGTACCGAAGTGTACTATTTCTACCCATACTGTTGTATTCTGGATCAGTTGCAGCTTCTGGATGGTCTTCAAGGACAAGCCCATGCAACACACATTTCAGAAATCTAATCAGGAAGGAACAGAGCATGAATGAGGAGGACTTCCAAACCCATAAATAAGGACAACTCTTTTCTTATATAGCCTATTTACTGTTATAGTTCCCTTGTCGGGAACTTGAGTCCAATGGATAATTGCTAAAGTCTACCCAGCTGCATGGGATCCATTCTCAGCTCTCAGCTCCTACAGTTCTGCTTTTATTTATTGCCAAGGGCTATTTACCCACTTTCTTGTACTCTGAAACAAGAAATAAAATAGAGCAGCATTCTTTAGAGGTTCAATCCATGGAAATGGGAATTGCCATCAGTGGGAACAATGAGAACAGAAAGAGAACACTATTGATAGGAAAGACACTGAAGATACGTTCGCCAAGCAGACTTGCCATCTCATCCTACTTGAAGACTAGAGGCAATTTATTTCTGTGAGAGGACTAATATTCATTTGGCAAAGCTATCCCAGAATGTCTAGACGCTGGCATCATTACTCTTCAGCATTAACTTTCTAATGCATCCTGATATAAATAAATAAATAAATAACTTTATTGTCATTGTACATGTATACACAGTATACCCATACAATGAAATTCACAAAGACCAGATGCAACACACATAATAATCCCTAAACACACTCCCACCCACCACAGTTCCCCACCCCTAAACCACGCAAACATCCACACAACAGACCAAGTAATACTGTCCAAGAGCTCACTGATGGTGGCCCTTTAGTTCATTGGTGAGTGCAATTATAGCTCTGGGATAAAAACTATTCAGAAAATGTGTAGTCCGAGTTTTAATTGTTCTGTATCTTCTGCCAGAAGGCAACAGTCCAAAAAGATTGTAAGCAGGATGGGAAGAGTCTCTGAGAATGTTATGCAACTTTCTCAAACAGCGAGATTTGAAGATTTCGTCCAGGCCTGGTAGCTGGAGTCCGATGATATTCTGGGCAGTTTTAATGGTTCTCTGTAGAGCTTTTTTATCCGCTACAGAGCTTCTCCCATACCATGCAAGAATGCCGTATGTCAGGACACTCTCAATGGTGCTGCGATAGTAGGACAGAAGTAGATGCTGAGATAGATTTATCTTCCTGATATAAAGACCTGTTTATTCTCTAAGGTGGACCTATTCCTCTTTCCCCATCACTTTCTCTGTTATGATTGTCTTCTGCAGATGCCCAGAGTTCCACCTGCGTTCCTAAAAATGATAACGATAGTGCTGTACCACAAATTCTGCCCTCTTTGAACACGCATGCAATGCCACAATGCAGAGGGTATGGTTTGAGTTGCAACAACAGCATGATGCTACTTTCATTGCAGTTTCAAGATTGTTGGGTGATTTGAGGCCAGTCAGTTGTGATAAATTGAGTGCTACCAATACGTTTCTCTGTTTGCTTGAATATATATCAAATTCTTGGATGTAGAGATATTGCCTTTAAAAGCTATTCTTCCTGAGGCTTTCCTGTAGCTGGTTAAAAAGAGACACAAATCTGGGCTCATGTTTTTCAGCACGGATTTGGATCATCTCACCATTGGCAACTCCAGTAACTCAGAAGATGCTACCACATGATAGGCAGAAGAGATTTTTGGGGTTAGTTCATGTGTGTATGTGTTTTGTTGTCTTTTGGAAAGTTCCTTTACATACTTGCCAGGACAAATAGGGGCAACCTGCTGTCTATTTGGAGTATGTGTGTTTATGGTGTGTGTGTGTGTGTGTGTGTGTGTGTGTGTGTTTATCTGATTCCGAAAGAAAACTCAGAAATTGGCTTCATCAGGGAGAAAATAATTCTGGATTAAGCTACTTTGTTTTGACTTGTTTTGGTTTTGTGGGCAGATGTTTTAAATATATGTGGCTCTCTCAGCATGTTTGTGGGGCAGCTCTTATGTTATGTAAAATGTTTGGGGCCAGATTTTGATTCCTACATTTTTTAAAGCTTATTATGAATTTAGAAGTATAATTCATCCCAGTTCCTCTGCGGCTTAGCCTAGCTGATGATCAAACTTCCTCACGTTGTAATGTCATCCAAGCGCTGTACATGAAAGATAATAGAATTCTGCACAAAGGAAAACTAGATTCTGGGTTTAAATGACAAAAAAAATTGTCTGCAGCTCAACAGTTTTGCATATTCTACTTTTGCTAAGCAAGAAGTGATGCATTGTGGTAAATCCTCACCCTACCCACAACCACTGAAATTCTAATTCGTAGGATATATGACACGATGAGGACTAGCAATATTGTTGGTTGTGTGGTAAAGGAGGCTTCCATGAATTTTAATTGTGGATACAGTACTGCAATTTATTTTGTCTATCCATTTCGTATTCTAACTGGTCCCTAATCCTAGACTTACAAAATATCTTAGAGATCATTTAGTCCAGCTCCTTGGTCAACGTAGTGCAGTGTTTTTCAAAGTTGGCAACTTTAACATGTGTGGACTTCAACTCCCACAATTCCTCAGTCAGCATGCTGCCAAGTTTGAAAAACATGGATGTAGAGTATATAAAAAGATTTCCACTGTCCTGTGGTGTCTAACTTTAGGGGCCAGTGCTCCTCTTCATTGCCTAGCCAAGGGAGCCAGCGTTGTCCAAAGATGTTTCCATGGTCATGTGGCCAGCATGATTATATGATGCATGGAACACTGATACCTTCAAATCAAAGTGATACCTATTTATTTACTTGCATTTGCATGCTTTCAAATTGCTAGGTGGGTAGGAGCTGGGGCAAGGACAAGAGCTCACCCCTTCACATGGTTCTTGGGTCTTGAACTCTCAACCTTCAGGTTGACAAGCCAGGCATCGTAACCTCTAGGCCACCGTGCCCCCCCCCCCTTTTTTTTTTTCAATTTGATTTATATGCTGCCCTTCTCCGGAGACTCAGGGCGGCTTACAATGCGTTAAGCAATAGCCTTCATACTTTTGTATATTTATACAAAGTCATCTTATTGCCCCCACAAACTGGCTCCTCAATTTACCTACCTTAGAAAGGATGGAAGGCTGAGTCAACCTTGAGCCTGGGGAGATTCTAACTTACAGTAATTGCAGACAGCTGGTGTTAATCACAATGCTATCAGTCTGCTGAGCCACCAGGCCCTTTTGTAGAATATTTATTTATTTATTTATTTTATTGTTTATATTTATATACCGCCCCTCTCCCAAAGGACTCGGGGCAGTGAACGGCCAACACATAAAACACAAGAAATACAAAATTTAAAAACAGTATTAAAATCCAATTTAAATTAATTTGGCCCACAATTAAAAACACCCCTGTATTAAGACCCATAATCAAACAATTTAAAAATTAAAACAATTTAAAGGAGTCAGGCCAGCCTGGCTTGCTGGAATAAAAACGTCTTTAGGGAACGGCAAAAGGTGCGAAGATCCGGGATCCGCCATATCTCCGGGGGCAGCTCATTCCAGAGGGTAGGTGCCAGGTGCAATATCCAGGTGCAATTTCTGTATCGTTAAAAAACTGGCCCTCCAAACCTCTCTTAGATAGCTGGTGTCGTATAGTGGTTAAAATGATGGACTGAAAACACTCAGATCCAAGTTCCCCACTGACTACAAAATTTGTAGTGTGGTTTTACACCAGCCCTTTTCTCCCAGCCCAACCTCCCTAACAGGGTAGATTATATGGTAGAATTTGGAGAGATTCCACCCCCCCCACCTCCGAATACCTTGCAAGCTTCCTAGAGCTGTCTATAAAAAGAGAGTCTAGAAATGCAAACTCAATGCAATGCTGTTGTTGTTGTTATTATTATTATTATTATGGTTGGTTGCACAATCAGCTAGATGTTTAGGATGGATTTGGCATTTATTTACCTATCTAAAGGTCTAGGATAGGATAGATGTTTATCGTTGACGGTGTTAAAGGTATTATTTTCATCATCATTATCTGCAAGGCATGAAACCCCTCGTCCCAGCCCCGGGGACAGTCTGTCCCACCACTTTCTGTATCTTTAGAAGTGTTTTTAAATATCTGTTTGTCTGTATGGATGCAGGCTTGACTTAATCTCTGTCTGCAAAGTATTGCAAGTTCTGTGGTGTGGAAGGAATGCAGTGTTACCAGCCTTCAGGGATTTAAAAATAAACAAAAGAGGATTTTTTTTCTTTTTTAAAAAAATGGCAAATTTGGCTGCAAGACCTGAAATTAAGGAAATTATTAGGCACAGGAAGAATTGGCAAACCTGCTAAACTACAGAGGAAGGAAAAGGGACGAGAAAAGAATCTCTGTGAGCAAGTACTGTTTCCTTAAAAGCTGGCTCTCTTGTTTATCAGAGGCAGATTTGAAACAAATGATTTGTAACACATGAATTCTATAATTATTTAACCCTATTGAGGAAGCAATACAACTGCAGTCCCATATTTGTGGTGGCTGTTAATTCATTTTTAACAACATAAGGATGTAAACAGCATCCCGTTGGATCAGACCCCTGGCCAGTGGTGGGTTTCAAAATTTTTTACTACCGGTTCTGTGGGCGTGGCTTGGTGGGCGTGGCATGGCTTGGTGGGTGTGGCTTGGTAGGCATGGCAGGGGAAGGATATTAAAATCTCCATTCCCACCCCACTCCAGGGGAAGAATACTGTAAAATCTCCATTCCCACCCCACTCCAGGGGAAGGATACTGTAAAATCTCCATTCCAACCCCACTCCAGGGGAAGGATACTGTAAAATCCCCATTTCCTCCTGATCAGCTGGGACTTGGGAGGCAGAGAAAAGATGGGGGTGGGGCCAGTCAGAATTTTTACTACCGGTTCTCCAAACTACTCAAAATTTCCCTTACCAGTTCTCCAGAACTGGTCAGAACCTGCTGAAACCCACCTCTGCCCTTGGCCCTTCTAATCTAACAATCTGTTCTCTAACCTGGCCCTTTTGCAGTTGAAAATAAGGAGTAAGTAACACCTTATAAATAGGAAAGAGAAGAGATTGGTCTTTTTGCATTAAGAAAAAGAAAAAGAGCCTTGGTAGTACAGTGGTTTAATGCACCCTGTTATTAACACAGCTGCCTGCAATTTCTGCAGGTTCGAATCTCGCCAAGGCTCAAGGTTGACTCAGCCTTCCATCCTTTCTAAGGTAGGTAAAATGAGGACCCAGTTTGTGGGGGCAATAAGCTGACTTTGTATAAATATACAAAAGTATGAAGGCTATTGCTTAACGCATTGTAAGCCGCCCTGAGTCTCCAGAGAAGGGCGGCATATAAATCAAATTAAAAAAAAAGAAGAAGAAGAAGTTAGAAGCATCAGAGCCGTCAGTAACTTGGAGAAGGCAGAGTGAAAAAAGTTATTGGTGGCTTTTTAGGTTTATCTAAAGGGTCGTTTGATAATGGCCTGAATTTGGGAATCCAGCCCAGTGGTGTAATTCAGACGGTTGGCAGCTGTCTTGTGGGATGCTTCTACCATCAAAGATTGGTCTGCATAGAGGGTTTCTGAGCAGTATTCCTGGCAGCATTGGTTACGGGAAGCAGAAGTGACGCATGGAGCTTCTTTGCTGTCCCAAAGAAGCTCAAATATCAGACGAAATTATACAGCTAAATAACATTGCTGGCCAAACTCTCTGGTTTGTTTTGTTTGACCAATCTACATTTAATTCCAAATTCAGGAGGTTGCTGTTTTTACACACACTCAGCTGCCTTAAGCAGAACTTAAGAAGTTCTTCACACCAGATCGGACTATTTAAGGACTAGCAAACGTTCTTCAAGAGAAAGATCTTTCTCTTCCGGCAGAGAAAGATCTTTCCTATTTTATGCAATTTAATCTTTGAACAGCAAATAGCTGGGACCGAATGAAGATTATCTATATGTAAATTGCATGCATATATGTATGCAAGCATGTGTTTATCCTATATATGTGTCATCCATCTCACAGAGAAGCGTGACTCTGGGTGGTTTTGCTACTAATCTATAGATCTGCAGTAGCACAGGATCTGGGGAAGAGACTATGGAAATATTTATCAGCAAAACAGCTTGTTGGGAGATCTTCCAACTTTTTCTAGGTGAAAAGAGAGATAGACATGGGAACAGAGGAAGTTGCTTAATATTGAATTAAATCTAGCTCAGTACTGCCACTAGAGGTTTGCACAACATCCTCAATTTAGAGTGAGCCAGCTAATCACTTTAAACCATAATCTCATATATGGGCAGAGGTGGGTTTCAGCAGATTCTGACCAGTTCTGGAGAACCGGTAGTGGAAATTTTGAGTAGTTCAGAAAACCAGTAGCGGAAATTTTGAGTAGTTCGGAGAACCGGCAAATACCACATCTGGTTGGCCCCAGAGTGGGGTAGGAATGGAGATTTTGCAATATCCTTCCCCCAGGAGTGGGGAGGGAATGAGGATTTTGCAGTATCCTTACCCTGGAGTGGGGAGGGAATGGAGATTTTACAGTATCCTTCCCCTGCCACGCCCACCAAGCCACGCCCACCAAGCCACGCCATGCCCACCAAGCCACGCCCACAGAACCGGTAGTAAAAAAATTTGAAACCCACCACTGTATATGAGCAAATAGCAATAGCAATAGACTTATATACTGCCCCATACTACTATATAGCACTCTCTGGGTGGTTTACAATGTCACCATATTGCCCCCAACAATTTGGGTTCT